TTTCTTCTGAAATGAATACTCTTTTCAAAGTGAATAATAAAAAGGAAGGCTATCAAATGGGAGATCTTACACAAGCTTAGTGGATGAGAAGGTGACACCTTATATACGTGCCATAGAACCTTCTTGTGTAATGTTATTCTTTCTGCTGCTCTGGAGTTCCAGTAGGTGTGGAGAGGGAAGGAGGGCTGTTGTTTACAGAGAGGGTTAACCCAAGGAATATTCTTTCTCTTGAAGGCCTGTTTCCTCCTTGTCTGATTTATTGATAACCACTCAACATTCTCATAATGGGGATGAGAGCTTATTAAACTGAACAACCGCAGGTGATATTAAATCCACTTTCAATCAGTCTCCCCCTTCAAACAGATAAAGCTTCAGCTTTAGAAGCCAAGTAGATTGTGATAAAAGTGACTTGAGGGGGGCATATTAAAGAATTTCATGTAATTCAGTCAGTTTCTTAAGCTTGTCATGTAGTGTCCCAGAGCCTCTCTTTTAATGTGATAGGACCAAGGGTAGGACTAGATCTTAAAATCTGAGGTCCTTGGACATCTCATTCTGTTAACTAGCTATGAGACTGTGGGCAAATCACTTCCCTCTGGCCTTTCATTTCCTGACCACCTCCCACCACTCCTATTTTGTAGATGAAGAATCACCAACTTTCTGAAGCATACTATTCACCTCCAGAGGAAAAATTGACTGATTAAATACAGACTGAGGGATGATATTTTTCAGTTTCTTTCTTTTGTTTTTTTTCTTTTATTTGAGTCTTTTTGTATAAACTAACTAGTGTGGAAATGTTTTACATAACTGCATATGTGTAAGCTATATCTGATTGCTTACTGTCTCAGGGTGCGGGGAGGGATAGAATTTGGAACTCAAAACATAAAATAAAAATGTTAAAAAATTGGGGAAAAGAAGAAAATATATTAAGGGGGAAAACAGAATCATTAACTTTCCCAGAGTCACACACTAAGTAGCTGAACTAGGATTCAAATCCAGCTTTGACTCCAAGTCCCATGCCACATTGCCCAGAGGACCCTCAGTGGCATGAAGTACTTTGTATATCTAGTTCATGGAGTCCAAATCTATGGTGCTTTAAAAAGCCTTGATCATCCCTGCTCTACCTATGGCCAATGCATTTGAGTAACTTTGGGGATGAGTGAAAGCACACTTATTATCAGCACTATCCGTCATTATTTAGCGATATCAATTTCACAAAGGAAAAACTGTTTTCATTGTAAAATGGCAGTAGCTGTCTCACCTTAGGAGAGTATTAATAACAACAACAACAATAACACTTCTATAGTTCTTCAAAGTTTGCAAAGCATTTTAGATATATATTATCTCATGTGATGCCGAGTTCTTAGATTTTTTTTTCCACTATGATGATGATCGTAGGTATAGAGATAGAAGGCACTGCAAGGACCATCAAAATCTAACCTCTTCATTTTATAGATGAGGAAACTCAAAGAAGTCCCATAGCTAATAGTTAGTAGGATCCTAATTCAAACCCAGATCTCTAGTTCTAAATCCAGTGTTCTTTCCATGTGTGGATGGTTCTTCCATATTTCCTACAGGGCAAAATTGGTAAGTATGTTCCTCTCTAGGAGGAATTATTCTTTACATTTTACTGCCATGTCTTTACTGCCTTCTCACTCTGTAAATTTCCTCAGTGCCTGTGGCCTTCTCACACTGAAACATCCCTTCATCCTGCAGCCTAATCACCATGGAATATTGTTCTGCCCTTTGACTTACTCTTCCTGGAGCATCCCTCTATCCTTGTAGCCATGTTCTTCCATTAGGAAGTTTCTCCCAAAGCCTCCATTTTGAGAAAAGACCCAGGCCAGCTTTCCTATCTTCCTCTCTTAGTTCCCCTTCTGACTCTCCAGACTTCTCCTCCAGTACTTACCCCCACTCCCATCTTTCCATCTTTCTTTTATGTATTGTTTTCTCCCATTAGAATGTAAGCACCTTGAGGGTAGAAGCTGTCTTTCCTTTTGCTTGTTTTTGTATACCCAGTTGTTACTGCTTTTTCCCTCCTCAGCTTACCTTGCATTACACTTTTCTTCTACACTACACTGTCTTCCTTTGTAGGCATTTCACAGTTTCCCAAAAGTAACTATGTCTGGTTTTCTGTTTAATTTTGAACAAAACATAAGAAGTCCCTGAAGAGAAAAAAGACACCCAGGGCCTCCCATACCAAGATGTGTGGGTCACCTTTGCTGCGTGTGTATCCCTTTTAAAAATGACATGACTGAACATTCTGTTCTTCTTTTCTTAATAATGACACCTTGCTGTCATTAGATTATAGAATACTGATGGTTCAATAAAGAAAATCCAATACTCAAGAAGTAAGAGATGGAAGAGAAAGAGAATGAGAAGAAGAAAAGGGAGTCTGTCTTATCATGTGCTTCTTGATTAGTGGTCTTTTGTTTTAGGGAGCATCATAATTATTGATGGAATATTCATTTGTGGTCAAACAAGAAACAATTAACCAATAAATTTGATCTTGTGTTTGTTCTCTATATGATGTGGTTTTTTAATCCTTGACAATAAGTACTATCTTTTTAGATCCACTGGCTTTTGCTCATAAATTAGTTTGGTTTAGGTTATCTTGCCATAGCTGAAAGAAATGCCATTACTTTTCTTAATCACATATTAAAAATAGTTAATTACCCATTTGTCTGAAACACTAACAGACCATGACTAACTTTATGGCTTTTCTACAACATCTCTTTTTATACCCTTGGTTTTTGCTGTTGGGTTGAGTCTTTGCATTCTCTGGCTTTTGAGCAGTGTCTTCATATTGTGTCCCTACATGTTGTTTCAAATTGCATCTATTTCACCCAGAGACACACTGAAAGCTGACCCAGCTTACTAGGATCAGCATCCCTTTAAAGCCAATCTCTGAGCTCCCACTGATGAGTTATCCTTTTTAAGCAAAAAAAAAATACTATTTATAGTATTGCTAAATACTGTAGTGAAATAAGAACAATTTTCTTTAAATCACAAGCATTGTGGTATCAAGAAAAATCAGACAACAGTTACACAAAATATCAAATGGAATACCAGCATTTGTTTTCTTTCCATCCACTGTCTCTTATCTTTCTTTGTGTCCCTATCATTTAGCACAGCACATACTACATATTAAGAACTTAATAAATGTTTATCAACTGACAGTCTACACAGAGTTAGAAAGGGATAAGGAGAGACCTGGGCTCAAAGTTATGAGACAACAGATAATTCACTTGACTTTTCTGAGCTTCAATCTCCTCACTATAAAGTGAATGTAATACATTCAGTGCCTGGTTGTTGTGAGGTTTGAATCAGATCATCTATATAAAACAATTTGTAAATATCAAAGCCCTCTATATGTTTTCCTTTGTTGCTCTATCTAGCCCTAAACATTAACAATACATTATCTAAAGCCATTGTACAAGAGATTTTGTTAAGATCTTACGTATTTGTACAAATGGAAGGAGCAGCCCAGATCCAGAGAAAGAGTCTGAGGGTCTGGAAAGAAGACTGGGGCAAGCAGAGTGTTTTAGCAGACCTATGAGGAGCAAGGATAGGACTAAGATAGAGACACAGAGATAAAAAATCATCAGCTCTACAGCTGAGAGCAAGACAACCTGACCCAGAGAATTCCCAATAAAAGGATGACTCCCCAAGTTCCCCATCTAGTGCCTGTCCGTCTATCCAAAAAAGACAATAATAAATTCTGCTGTTTCACTTCCTAAATGTTTGCAGCACAATGAGTTTTTCCTCTACCACAAAGAAGCCACCGATCAACTAGAAATAGGCAAAAATGTAAAGTTAGCTTAGCTTCTGCTTACATTTTAGAAATTTTCTTAAATGAGGGCTTGGAGCAATTATTACTAAAAGAACCTCTTTTAAAGGGAAAGAGGAGGGAACCACATGGAGTTTAGGGATCTGTTATATTGCCTCCTAGGCTTAAATAAGCTAATTATTATAATAGGTTATCACGTATTTTACACGTCCACACATGTCTATGAACACAATGCATATTTACGGTTGTTGTCCTTCACTCTTGAAGAGAACTAAACTGACATCACTATGTTAGAGTCAAGTCACAACATGTCCAACTGTAGCTGATCAGACCAATATGAGCTCAGAATGCTCTACCACAGGTTGGGCACAAACAGTCCATGTGAACATTTGGGGTGGATTCGCTAAAGTTTTGCATCTCACATTTCTTTCTTTCTTTCTTTCTTTCTTTCTTTCTTTCTTTCTTTCTTTCTTTCTTTCTTTCTTTCTTTCTTTCTTTCTTTCTTTCTCTCTCTCTCTCTCTCTCTCTCTCTCTCTCTCTCTCTCTCTTTCTTTCTTTCTTTCTTTCTTTGGCTAGGCAATGGAGTTAAGTGACTTGCCCAGAGTCACACAGGTAGTAAGTATGATGTGTCTGAGGCTGGATTTGAACTCCTGTCCTCCTGAATCCAGGGCCAGTGCTCTATCCACTGTGCCACCTAGCTGCCCCATCTCACATTTCTTTTGAGCTACTTCAATTCTGCTTTGCTCATAGAGCACAGCACCTTCTTTGATAAGGGCACACCATGCTGGGCAGTCCTATGCCAATGTTTCCCATGTCATACAATCAACACCAAAGTTCTTAAGAGAGACCTTGAGAGTTTCCTTATATCATTTTTCCCCCCTGACCACCATGTGAGCACTTGCCCTGTGTGAGTTCTCCATGAAACACCTTTTTCGGCAAGCAAAAGTTTGGCATCAAACAACATGGCCAGCCCATCCAAGTGGCACTGTCTACAGTTGGGTTTGAATGCTTGGCAGCTTAGTTCAAAGAAGCACCTCTTATCCTGCCAGGTTATCTTAAAAATCTTCCTAAGACAATTCAAATGGAAGCAATTCAGTTTCCTGGCATGGTGCTGGTAGACTGTCCAGGTTTCACAGGCATACAACAGTGAAGTCAGCACAATGCCTCTGTAGACCTTCAGTCTAATATCTCCTCTCTCTCACATTTTCCTTAGGAACCTCTCCAACACTGAGCTGGTTCTGGCAATATACAAGTCAACCTCATTATCAATGCGTACATCCCTGGAAAGTATACTGCCAAGGTAAGTGAGCTTGTCCACAGTATTCAAAACCTCTCCATTTGTTATAACCAATGGTTCTACATAAGGATGGTATGGTGTTGCCTGATGGAGCACCTGTATATTCTTGGTGTTACTTGTTAGGCCAAAATAGGCACAAGCAGCAGAGAATCAATCTGTACTTTATTACGTCTCAACTTCAAAAGTGCCATTGTGCAAAAAAAAAAAAATCATGTACCAACACACCCTCCACTTCAGTCTTGGCTTGTAGCCTTTTCAAGTTGATGGATTTACCATCAGTGCAGTAGCTGACATTATTATATATTTATATATGATAGATAGATAGATAGATAGATAGATAGATAGATAGATAGATAGATATAGATAGATAGATTGATAGACAGACAGATGTAATATGAATGCAACTTGCAGCTCAAAAACCATTTGCAAAATCCTTTTTTTATAGTGGAGATTGATTAATCAGTGTTCCATGCCTGCCTGAGGGGCAGAGTTGTGAAGAGTTTGGAAGAAGAGAAATCCTGATCTTCTGCCTTCTGCTTCAAGAGAGAAGACACATAGTTCTAGACCCTTTCCAGATCCATAAAATGAGAAAAAAAGACCCTGGGGAAGAAGTTGACATGTAGAGGAACAAACATTTTGATCATGTCCCTCTCCCCAGATTATTACATTACAGACTTCAGGGAATTTCATGTTGGGTGAGGTCAGGGACTTCTGCATGACTCTTTTCCTGAATCTTCCCTTTCCCTGAGTCTTCCCTTTCCCGGTTGTTATTGCCCTCTCCCTCCTCAGGTTATCTTGTATGGTTATCTGTGTACACATCATATTATATACATACATATATATATAAATACAAAGCATTACAGTTCTTGAGAATAGGAAAGGGGTTTTTTTTTGGTCTTTGTATGCTTCTTTCATTAACAAGCACTTGGTTTGATAGAATTGATTCACGGCCAATGTGCTACGGCTTGTTTATATCAACTGTTCATCTTTCCATTGCCCTTAAAGTTTTGATTCTTCCAATACTGTAGTTCTGTAAGATTTGTAGCTATAGTGGGAGAGTACTATGCACAAAAAGGTGGACTTTTGTGTAAGTGAGCTATTTGAGATCATTAGCATATAGCTCACTTTTACATAGCACTTTATGGTTTAGGAAACGTTTTGCTCAGAACAGTCATTTATAGGTAATATTAATATAATTGCCTCCATTTTATAGATGAAGAAACTGAGACTTGGAGAGGTGAATTAAATGTCTTAGACCCACAGAGATCACTTGGCTCCAAATTCAAATCCATTAAATTATATTGTCTTCCTTTGAAGGCACTTCACAATTTCCCATATGTAATTCAGCCTTATTTTCTGTTCAATTTTCAACAAAACTAAAGTCTTCAAAGAGAAAAAAAGGCCAGCCAGGCCCTCCCACACCCAGATATTTGGACCACCTTTGCCACATGTGCATCCTACATCTGTATCTCATTGACATTGGCCTCTACTCTTTCAAAGGGCATTTGTAGTTAAGGGAAAATGTGAACTCACATTTGAAAACTCCCATCCTTGCTACACCATCTTAGAGAATGTCTTTGCCAAGATCTAACTGTGTCTGCTGACTAATTATTAATGGTAAGTACGCTGGTGAGGGGAAGGGGATTGGGTGGGTGGGTGGGTGGGAGCTCTAGGAGTCTTTAAGAGAACCTGAGAGTAGGCCCACCTTGCTAGAGACCCAAGCCGGAAGCACAACTGCTCAAGCTGAGGTAGCACACATAGGTTTTAAGATGGAAGGAACTTGGTAAGTCAAAGGTTTGCAAATCAGTAAAAGTTGCTTCAGGGGTTGTGAACATCATTTTAGAGGGCATCTGACAGGCCAGTTACTAACCCGTAAGTGTGGTAGACCAACATGACCTTTGTATTCTTCTAATAAAGTGAAAAAAATTTTAATTTCTTTATTTTTTTTTTGTGGTCACACTAAAGAGTCAGCAAAAAGTTACTCAACTCCTATGAGTTTGCTTTAGAACAATTTTTCGGTGAGTAATTCCTCCTTCAACTACACATGTTCCTTTTATAATTTGGGTTGTTCTTACTTGGGTTAATACATTCTTAAGAAATAGTCTTACAATTTTCCAGCCATTAGCTAATCAGTACTTTGAAAAAAATATTCATTTTAGAGTGCCTGTTGAGCACAAGAAACTACTTGTTCATGGACAGCATATTAACCATAATGCTTGAAGAGGAAAAAAAAAGTAAAGTCAGACAGTATATCGTTATTTGTCATTTGCTATTTTTTAACTTATTTTGAATTTACTATTTAAATTAATTTTTCTTCCAAAAGGAAAGTTGGTAAAATTGTTTTTGTTGCTTGGGGATCATATAAAGGGGGTATATGATGTGGTTGTGGAGGAACTACAAAATGGTATGGTTATTTGGGAAATCTATGGCATAAAAACAGGTCCCCAAATGGTCATATATAACTACACAATTCTACTATTAAGATTATAACTGAAGGAAGCCCCTCACTAAAAAACAGCATCTATCTCTGCTTATATACGCATAGTAGCCTTACAGATCAGAACAGAAGTGTTGTCACAAGCCAAATACCCAACAACTTCTAAATCAATGGCTCAGTGGTGGAATATGAATGGAATGGAATGGTTTTGTGCTACAGGGAACTATAAATATAAAGAATTCGAAGAAATATGTGGACTTGTGAGGCCATTTGGCATAGTGGAAAGATTTGGCTTCAGAGTCAGCTAAAGCCTAGGTTCAAATCCTATTTGGTTGAAATTAAGAGATTGGTTGACCCTGAGCAAGTCATTTAATCTCTCAGTTTCCCCAAGCCACTTTTTTTTAGGTAATTGGGGTTAAATGACTTGCTCAGGGTCACACAGCTAGTACGTGTCAAGTGTTTGGTCTGACGCCGGATTTGAACTCAGGTGCTCCTGACTCCAAGGCTGGTGCTCTATCCACTGTGCCACCTAGCTGCCCCCAGGCCACTTTTTAAGACTACAAATTTCAGTGTAGGAGCTAATCTACATTGGTAGAGGGAGTCTGCTCACTGGGAGTTCCTGATTCCAATGAAATCAAAATCTAATCTTTTTAAAGTGAAAATCTTTATCAAATGATGAAAGGAAAAGAGAGCAAAAAGTGAAGAACAGTGTGTGTGTATGTGTGTGTGTGTGTGTGTGTGTGTGTGGTACAACTGTATAAAAGAAGATAACATTGAAAAGTAACAAAACTCATACTAAATATAATACAGGATTTTAGTCTTCTCTTAAAGTTAAAGCTCATAGTCTTTTAAAAAAAACTAATGGGTAAATTGAAAAAGTTCATTGGTTGCATGATTATTCACGATATGTTTATATTGTTTCACTTAATAATTCAGACAAATCTTTTTCTTTGGGTTTTGGTCTGTCTAAACCAAAGTTTGTTCATTAAAAAAACAGTAATTACAAATTAATTTGGTATTTGATTGCACTTCAGTCTTCATGTGTAACACCTTCAATAGCTTTTCTCACAAAGGCACATCTTAAAATGCAGTATTTTTACAATACAACAAGATAACAGACTCTTGAATAGTATCATTTTAGCTATGTTTCAATGAGAAGTTTGTGAAGGGATTCTTAGTTTGGAGAGGTAAAGGAAAAGAGCTGTGGGAACTTTTTTTTTTTAAAGAAGGAAGTTGGATCCTTATATTGAACATGAAAAGAATTCTCAAAAATACAAATTAATTGATATTTTCAGAATCCTGAATGGTAGTGATGGTATATAGGTCCTGGAAACCCCATCCTAACTTCCTTGAACTTTCCCACTTGGTCAAGTCTCTGGCACCTGCCCAGGGCATCTAGCCATCTTAGTAATCCTCTCAGCTGGCCTTTCATTGTGGCCTATGCCCAATCTCCCAGTTCTGTTACCTAGCCCAGCCCTCCATTATCTGTTACCTCTGGGTAGCCCCTGCCTACTTTCCACCCTTGATTCCATCTAGACCCCATTCTCATGGTCCTTCTCTGTTACTTCCCAGTCACCTCAGCCTACTGGCCACTCCTAGATCCTTCCCACAGTCTTTCTGTATATAAGGTCCATCTTGCCTCCCCATTAAATTACTCAGATTCCTTAAGAGTCTGGTCAATATAGCATATTCTTAAAATCATGCCCGCCTTGATTGGTGTTCTAATAAACCTTGTCTTTGTCTGAGAGAAGGCTTGGGTTGAATTCTTTTGAGCCAGGACCTGTGTCATTATTTCAGAGTCTCAGCACCCCTAAACCTCAACATTAAGACTAGACAAAATCTAGTGATTCCTAGGTTCTAAGGTAAGCAAAGCCAGCAGTTGTAGTGATGACTGAATGTGATTTTTGCTAAGTTCTTTCTCACAGCTGATATATTGTAAATGCTAATTTGTTTTTGTTTTATTGTTTGTTACAATTAATAAATGGGGCAGGTAGGTGGTACAGTGGATAGAGCACTTGGCTTGGAATCAAGAAGACTCCTCTTCATGAGCTCAAATCTGACCTCAGAAGCTTAACTAGCTGTGTGACCCTGGGCAAGTCATTTAATCCTATTTGCCTCGGTTGCTCATCTGTCAAATGAGGTGGAGAAGGAAATGGCAAACTACTCCAGTATCTTGGCCAAGAAAACCCTGAATGGGATCACAAAGAGTTGGACATGACTGAAACAATTGAACAACAGTTAATAAGGAATATAGCCAATAACTATGATGTTAATTTATCCCTGCAAAATTGGGGTCAGGATGTTGATGTCAAGAGATAGACAGATGTCATAGAGATCATGGGAAAAGAGAGCTCTCCATTTTATTAAATAATTAGCAAACTGGGGTGATCAGAGCTTATGAATGCTACGGCTTTAGCAAGCAATATGGATACATTAGAACTCACTCCCTTGCTTATCTTAGAAATCAAGACAAGAATGAATTTTTAAAAGAAGCTATTAACAGACAGAGAAATAAGGGACCACCCCACCCAGGCTACACATGGAATGGTCGATCCTAAAAGCACATTGCAATTTAATTATATTTTTATATTGTCTGTAAATAGAAGATCTCTGTGTGCTGCATCCAAGAGAGTCAATAATTTAGCGAAATAAACAAGATTGTTGAATTCAGTAAAACAACTAAGTCTGTCTTTCTACTGCTTCCCTGCTTGCTTCATCTTTCTTTGTCTGCTTTCCTATTTCCTTCCTTCCTTCCCTCTCTGGTCTTCCTTTTCTTCTTTCTCTTCTGATGTCAAATAACAGACTTGACAGTATGTTTCAATTTTCTCTCTTAAAGTCCCTAGTTTGCTTCATAACTGAATTCAGATGTCACCTCCTATTTAAGGTGGTGCTGTCCCACTTGCAAAGGCCCCTCCTAAACTGCCTTGTAATTACTTCTGTATATATTTATATGGGTATGTATTGTCTCCCCAACAGAATGGAAGCACACTGAAGGTATGGCCAATTTCAAATGTCCCCAGTTATCAGATTTCCAATATCAGCCCTCAGAAACTTACTAGCTGTGTGACCCTGGACAAGTCACTTAACCCTGTTTGCCTCACCTGCTCATCTATAAAAATAAGCTAGAGAAGGGAATGGCAAACCACTCCAGTATCTTTGCCAAGACCACCCCCAAAATGGGGTCATGAAGAGTCAGGCAGGGCTCAAGTGACTGAACGATAACAATAACAGTTAATTAATAGTATAGCCAGTCACCTTGATGTTAACTTAGAGCTAGAAAATTGAGGGGGGGGGAGTTATTGATGTCAAGAGATAGACAAACAAATGTAACGAGAGAAGAGGTGTCTCTGTTTTATTAAGTAATTAACAAACTG